TGCCGTGACGCGCCGAGCGGAGTCGAAGTTAGCCTAGTCCCAGCATCCTGGTAGCTATGCAACGCGAGTGAACAGCGGTGACGTCATCAAGGGATACCGCGGTTGCTAGGCAGCAGTAAACAACTCCGGACAGCGTTGCTAGCTACACAGCGCCAGGCAAGAAGGGTGCCTATTACGTGGCCGTATTCTGTGTCGTCCGGAACGAGGCTACTTAAGGAGCAGCGAAGGCTATTCACAGTTAGTCCTCGAGCTACCTCCGAGTTAGTACCGAATCAGTTCGCGAGTTGAGTTACCAGCATTTGCAGTGTAGCATTTGTGATACTGCAGATAGCAGTAATTGTCAGATTGTAATTTGGGTGATTGTAAGTGCAAATGTGAAATAAAATTCGCTACATCAAATACGGCGTGAATTTATTTGTCGCGTTATACACCCAACACGTGACAGTATTAACTAACTGACAAACAAACTCCGTCTTTAGGAGCTGTGCAAGACATTTTCAAAACATTATGCTTTCAAATTCGGAAACATCTATATTGAAGTTTTGTCCGTTCCGTTTTAAATCCATTGTGTATACCGGCCTTAGTTTCTCGTTACGTAAATATGAAAGAATATTTTGCTGTGTTTTAATTTGTTAGAAGGAACCGAAACCTTAATTTGCATTAAATTACATCAGGAAGATGGGCTTCTTAAATATGTCGCAGATAATTGATCCCGTTCGCTGCAGTTAAGTTCCTATCGTAGTCAGTGTTATGAATTTCAGCTACAAACGGACAGCTGGGAAGAAATATATATCAGTTGTTTCATTACAAATTCACATTCAGCTGTCGGGTCACGAATCGAAGTCCACTTGGCGGGAGGTCCATGCTTTTGCGGCACGATCAACTGCGAAGCCGTCAGCCTGTGGCAGCGCACGTCAGACAGGTGACGAATGCGCATGCGTTTAAATGGAACCACTTATGAAGCTATATTCGCATGTAGTTTAGAACTAACGCGACTCCAAACTCTGCAATTATACGACTTGAATGTCAATGCAGTCTGCTTTGAGATGTTCATTTGAATGAACTGATCATATATACACGTATACACGCAAGATTTGGGATTCCCATGGCTGTGACTACAAAGAGTATTGTCACGTGTATGAGTCTAGATTGGTAATCAGATTTATTGAACTCTTCTTTCCTCTCAGTGGCTCTTCTAGCCCATTCAGGGTCCAGCCCTCTTATTCAGTCCGTAATCATTTTTACAGACGGTAGGACTCCTTGGAAGAGTGATCAGCTCGTGGTAAGGTCGCTGCCTAAATGCAGGACAACACAGAATAAACGCATAAACACACCAAACATCCATGCCCTGAGTCTAATTCAATCCCACGATCCCAGCATACGAGCAAGCGAAGACAGTTCATGCCTTAGACCACGCGGCCACTATGACCGGCTTATTGAACTCTTACCGAACGTAACTAGAAGTACGTAACTATAGCGCTATAGCTACTTCATACACTCTGCAGTTCACTACGGCACGTACTGAATCTTCTCAGTCCGCTGTGTAACAGCTTCAACTGCGGACGTCCCCTTCCTCTGAGTTCCCGAACTATCCCCTTGCCTCAGCTACCAGCTTCTCATAGCAACAGCTCACAAGGACTGAACCACAGCAGTTCTCTACATAACTCGCTCCACTCAACTCTACTGCACTAACTAAACTCAAGTCAGTCGATCTAGTGATATAGCCTCGGAGCGGACCACATAGAAAACACCGCTTCCAACATTACTTCTGTTGCCCGCAGGCGGCTGCCTAACATCGGCTCTAGTGCTGTTGCGTATTTCCTAATCTGTTGTATAGCAATGGCCGTTGTCTCGTTTCGTCGTCGTTGCCTAGCATCAGGTGTGTATGCCACAGTATTGTACACTGTGCTGTGTCGTCCGGTAGAATTTTCGAAGAAACTGCTTTTTCTATTTTCAGGGTCGAAGAATAAGCCAAGCAAACAACCAGTAAGAAGCAAGCTGCACTGAGAGCCGAGCTTGCTGGATTTATTCTTCGGCCTTGAAGATGGAGGCGATACGTTCCCCTGGAACGTAGATGAACTTGTGTCAGACTTCAAGGCATTACTTCTCAGAAGACAGTATTCTGCAATATCTGTGCAGTCCATAGAATACGTAAGGAACCAATTAAATTGTACCCTTCAAGGATCCATTCAGTATTCATACATTGTATGACGAAATTTCGTCAGGGACATTTATTTTGCCTGGTCAAGGTCATTCCATAACCTGCCACTACCGATCCCAAGGTCACAACGTGCTACAGGTATATTCTCTGGGAGGAACAAGTTAAGAATAGGCGAAGATGTGATCGCTTCTACGGTCTACAGAGTGATCCAAAAGTTGGTTAACCTAAAATATTGTCTCGTATTAAGGGGAATGTTTTGAATTGTGCATTAAACATGGAAGAACTCATTTCGAATAACTTTTATAATTTCAGGAAGTAGTAAAGGAATTTCTGACGTATTTTAATGTACATTTTTGTAACAAGTTAACTAACTTTTGGGGCATTCTGTATTGCCCATGGTCTTGCTATAGTTCGGGCACTTAGTTGCCGATTTCTCCCTTTAGAGGCCTGAGACTAAACCCAAGGCAGTCACTGAAACTTTTGTGGTGCTTATAGTGGCACTTAGGATTCTTCTTCGAGTTCGTTGGTCTCAGTCATTCCACCGTTGATCCGTTCTCATATTTATCTTCAGACATAATATGCCCATGAATAGAATGCATGTAAGGTCTTGATGGGAACACCAGGATGAAAGAGAACACTAGGAGGACCTAGACAGGTGGGAGTGTAATATTGTGACATGTAGACCCGTTGCTGGGGAACGACTCGGTAAACACATTCCCACTGCAACAATTGGAGAACTTCCGTTGCTTTGCAGTGGC